CCTAGAAAACAAGTCCCCTGGCAAGTCCGAAGCACTAGTAGAAGGAAATCATTAGCTCTTGATCACATGGATTACCATGAAAATATTGTTTAGTCTGTACAAAAGGCCTTTATAAATTAATTTTTTAACAATTTAATGGCTATCTACTATGTGAAATTTAACTGACCTTTTAATTTTATTAGAGAGGCTATATTTCCTAAATCTGACCCAGATGAGTATGGAACTCAGTTCAGACATACCCAACAAGGAATTTTCTCCTCCCTTTTCACTGAGCTACCAACTTCCTGTCTTAACTAAGGCAAAAAATACCAAGTAGTGAGAGATCCAGGCTGATAAAAATGCTAGGTACACAGAAGATGCTTCGTTTAGTCTGGACTTCCATGGAGCAGAATGTTTTAGGATGTGTAGACCCAGTAATACCACAGCATCTATCTTATAATACACACTTCCAATAGGATCTACACTTCTCGTAGCAGCAAGGACATTTGAAACTATGAAATGTCACTGACATCTATCATCAAAACAAGCAATAAAATTTAAGAACTAAAAAAATACTCAAAAGAAGTAACTGCTTAGCCCTAGCTTCCAAACTAGGAGGATCTGGTTGGTGGAAACAGGGAGGGTCAGCTACCTGTCCCAGCACATTAGAAAAATAGCCCCCGAGGTAGGTGACTGATCATAGACAGCTGACCAGACAAGTGCACAGTCTTAGAAGACAACTTACCATTGCTTTCAGAACTTACACAAGTGTTTAATAAAAGAGCAGTGGTAACAGTGAATTAACTCCTGTATTAAAGTAGAAATAACTGTGTTTATGAGTCAGGAATTTCACAGTTTAAAAGTTGGTTTTCTTTACACTTGAACACCTGTAGTGATGACATAAAGTGTGGCACTTCTTGAATTCAAGTCTTCATTTTTTTCTGTCTCTGTGTGTCCATACATCTATTAAAATTATAAAATCTAATGCAAAGGTACAAAGAAGGCACATTCTCCTAACCGTTAACTGACCAGGCAAAAATAAAAGAGCAGAGAAGATTCCATGAAGCTACTGGCTGCCGGCTCTTTGGTCTTTGGCGAGGTTACCTTTAAAGGTGCCGAGTCATTTTCTATTTTTTTCAAATTTGCCTAAGAGAGAGCATAAACCTTCCAGCCAGCAAGCAAGCAGCACCCTCCATGGTTCCCCCCACACTCTACCTATAAAGTGAGTTCCTTGGTCAGAGGTAATGCTGTGTGGAGTAACAAACAAGCCTGTCTTCAAGCCATTGCCTTGAGATCCTGCCTTGTTTTCCCTCATGGATGGTGACATGGGATTGTAAGCCGAGTGACACATTTCCTCTCATAAGTTGCTTTTGGTCAAAGTGTTTTTTAATTACATCAACAGAAATGTAACTAGGCCAACCCATTAAGAACAGATTCTAATATCAGCCAACACAAGCTCATTGGCATTTATGAATCCATCACCTGAAACAATGGAGACTAATACATCTAAGTGCTTCTGCCTCACTCACCAAGACAATGAGAAGAATCTTCAGAAATCAAAAAGTATACTCTTTGACCACAATGGAATTAAATGAGAAATAAAGGGATTTGGGAAACACCGAAAAACTTGGGAGTTAGGCTGCACACTTCTAAACAGCCTGTGATGAAGTTGACTGACATGACTCTGATAGGGCTCTTTCTAGATTATGACTTTGGGAAGGTGAACTTTGGTGACATGGTCAATAGAAGTCTCTTTTCTTCCCCTCTCAGTTCTTTGATTTGGATCTACCTGATCACATGATCACATGTACCAGCCGAGCCACTGCCCAAGAAAACTAGTGTCTACTGGACTGACTTTAATTTCTGCTTGTGCACAACATAATGTTTCTGCTTTTTCTTAAGATACTGCTAACCAGGTTTATAAATTTGTCTCAATTCTGTCAAAGGTACTGCCTTTTTAAGAAGAGATACAGGCACTGGGGATATGGCCTCAGAAGGTAAAATTATCAGAAACAATTCTGACACCTGAATTTGAGGCCAGCCTGGTCTACAGAGCCCAGGACAGCCAGGGCTAGACAGTGAAACCCTGTCTCAAAGAAACAAAAACAACAAAAAAACCAAATAAACAACAAGGAAAACAACCCCACCCCCAATTCAAACAGATGAGGAACAGGAGCAGGAGTATCAGCATCAGCTAGTGGGGGGAAAACCACTCAAACACCATGATCCCAGAAACTGGGAGCTACGAATGCCTGATTTCTGACCCATGCTTTTATGTACTCTGCCCCCTCTCTGTCTCTGAAGGCTACTGAAAGCCCTTGGTTGATCCAGTCATGTTCCCATGGCTCTTGTCTGAGGGGAGAGGTTAACTGATCCAGCATTTGGTGTCTAAAACCTCTTTTCTTCACAAAATCTGAGCTTTCTGTACTTGAAATATATACTAAATGACTGCCTGGACTGAACAGTTTTACCTGGGGACCATGCCAATGTCTGCACAGAATGCCCAGATATTGATGGGGAGCCCCAAACGTCTTCAGAGAAGGACCTGGTAGATGTTGGATTGGGGCTTTCTGGTTGTATTCTTTCTCATCAAGGAGAACCAGACACCATTGATGTCTCTGAGTGGCCAGTACAAGAAGATCTTCTGATTCAGAAATAGAACTCACGCCCTTTATGCAGTAGGAAAAGCAGGGTGCCCAGGGTGAGTTTATAGACAACTACATTAAGTGACCACTGTAGCACTCTTAGTCCCATGATGACCGGTCCATAGGGCCTCATCTCTACTGTGTTCAGTATTTGGTATGGAGTCAGACACTTAGTGCCCAGTGTGTGTGACAGAAACCAATGGGCTGCCTTAAGCATTTTCATGAGGGAAATATGATGATGTAATCAGTAAGTGGTCTCTGCTTCCAGCCCTGCTAGGGCTCCCCTGGAATCTCCCCAGGACTGTGGGGCAATCGTGGGGTCCTGCCCAAGGCTGGTCATCTCTTCTGCTCTCATGGCCTTTTTTTTCTTTCTTAAGTATAGGTTCCAAGGGTGAGACTCAAAAGTAGCATGTCATATGTCCTGGATGTTCTGGAAGCCCCACTGGGCCTGTGGTCCTGTCCAGTTTGGAAATGACAGGGTACCCTCATCAGCACATGTCATAGGAAGAAGTCACTGAGATGACAGCCATGTGACCCCTGTGGCCTATGGACTTCACGTAGTGTGGACAGCATGACCCTCCCACGCCCTGTTCTGGCTGCTTCTGTCAAGGTCTCTGGGAGGCCATTTTCCTGCCTTCACATTCCATAGACACCATGCTATCCTCAATCCCTCTGCGGTCTGAGGCGCTTGACTACACACTCCATATGCTTCTGTGTGTATCACCAGGCCCAGGTTGGTCTAGAGTTGTCTGGGAGGTGACTGAGGACCAGAGGAAGAAGGGTGCTGGACTCGCGGTGCTGTCTCTTTAAGGGTAGCGACATCACAAGGCTGTGGAAGGCCAGGCAGCCGTGGAACTCCGTGGTCTTCGGCTGTTCCTGTGGGGTGTGTGAGCTCTGTATTTCCATCTCCATGGGGCCACAGGCCCACATGTGAGCACTTTAGGACACCATGGCAGAGGGTAGTGAGCTGATGAACAGGCTCATGAGTGAGAACGCAGACCTGAAGAAGCAGGTGCGCCTCCTGAAGGAGAACCAGATGCTGAAGCGCCTGCTTAGTGAGAGTTGCCAGGAGAGCTGTGGCCGAGGGGGCCGGGACCTGCTCTTTCCCAAGGCCCCTACCTACCCTGAGGCCTGCTCCCCCGGGAATGGAGGTGAGGTGCAGGCCTTGCCAGGACTGTGGAGTTGGCCAGGTTGTAGCCCATTCCTGTGGGGTGTCTTGGAGGTAGCCATGAACCTGTCGAAAGGGAGACTTTGAGGGCCTGTATTTGGTGTAGTGACTTCTTAGAGTCCTCTTTGGATGTCTGCCTCTGTCCGAGCCCAGACATCATTGAAAAGACATCTTGTAGCCCCGTAGCCCACTAGGGTCTCGTAGGCACAAAGCCTAGAGGAGTAGAAGAGTCCTTCACCAAACCTCCATCACTGAGTCCAAGTGAAACCTTGAAGAGGGATCCTCACAGGGAGTTAGTTTGGGGATGGAGACAATGGTGCTGACAAGAGGCGGAAAAAACACAACATTGTTGGAGGGACTGTGCTCATACAACTGGGTCACATATGACCTCCTGCAGCGACACTATGCATTGTGGTGGCTGTAGAGGTTCCAGCCTCTGTCTCATTGTTGATGACCACTGTCGGTAGCATGACAAACCTCATGCTACCTGGCTGTGTCCCAAGGCTATGGGAGAGGAATTTGGTTTTGTACTTTCACATGCAGTTTTCCAGAGCTATGTGTTGAAGAGACTCTTTTCTCAGAGTTTTTAGAGTTTTGTTTACTGACCCACTTTGGTTTTCTGCCTCTTACTGAGCCATTTTACATCAGTTCCCAAGAGAAGGTCTCCTGTCATCATTTCTAGTGGTGCACAGCTGTCCATAAGGCTCTTTGGTGTTGTGAGGAGTGTCTGTCTGGGTAGGGCCGTGAAGCCCTCAAGGTCTTAGAAGGGCAGACAGGAGGTCTAGCATCTTATTGGCAAGTTGTTGTTGTTTAAACTTCCTTTTGCTTAGAAAATACTTTTGGGGCAAAGCAGTTGGTTCCTGCCTGTGTACATTTTGAGATAGGATTTTCTCAGGTACGCCTGTTTTCTTGCTAAGCTCTGGGAGATGAGAACTTCCCAAGTCAAAGAACAGGTTGATGAGACCCGTGGAAAACGAACACAGTCAAAATGCACACAGCTGAGCTCAGGTATGGCTGCAGAAGGTATCCCCGAGAGCGAGGAGGCGACCACAGCGTCGCTCATTGTTTGTGTTTTCAAGCACTGACCTTTGAACTCGGAGCCTAGCCCAGCTAAGCAAGTGCCCTACCACTGAGCTACCACTCGTAACCACAACTTTGCTTTTGGGATGAAAAAGAGTGAAAAGTCACTGGGCATGCCTATGCGCCAGGAAACAGAAGAACCAGGGGGTTCACAAGTGGTGGGACATGGATAAATATCACAAATTTATTTTTTAAAGATTTACTTATTTATTATGTATACAGTGTTCTGTCTGAATGTATGCAGACCAGAAGAGGAAACCAGATCTCATTACAGATGGCTGTGAGCCACCATGTGGTTGCTGGGAATTGAACTTAAGACCTCTGGAAGAGCTGTCAGTACTCCTAACCACTGAGCCATCTCTCCAGCCCAAATATCACAAACTTATATTGCAGGAAAACTTACAGGGTGATCCATTTGCAGGGAATTTAAGAAGCACGTAGGCATCACTGCAGTGAGGGTGGTTGTGAGCACATCAAGGCCATGTACTTATTGTTGAGTTAATGGGACAGGGCTTCCTCTGTCATCAGGTGAAGGGCTGAGAAGGGGCCAGAACTCTGGTTTGGGAGCGATCGTTCTCATCCCCATCTCTCTGGGCTTTCAGTCATGTCCTGGTACCTCCAGTCTGACTTGCGTTCTTTTCTTCTCCACCCCAGGTCCAGATTTTGGAAGGTTTGCCAGTGTCCCTGACACATCCTCTCAGCTGCAGACATCTTCCTTAGAGGACCTGCTATGCTCACATGCCCCACTCTCCAGTGAGGACGAGGCCTCCCCCGGCTGTGCAACCACCTCTCAGGTCCCTTTCAAGTCCTTCCTCAGTCCTCCAGAACTACATGCAAGAATTGCCGACAGGAAGATGTCCCCACTGCTGAGTCCCTTGCAGGATTCCCTGGCTGACAAAACCCTGCTTGAACCCAGGGAAATCGTGCGGCCTAAGAAGGTGTGCTTCTCGGAGAGTAACCTGCCCACTGGGGATAGGAGCAGGAGGACCTATTACCTCAATGGTATGGTACACACAGGCGGTCCTGGGTGGGAAAAAAAACATGTTTAGGAGACGTGGCTGTGGCTAGTTTCTCCAGTGGTGAAGAGTAGGGAGGAGAGCCCGGGAGGGCCAGGGCTAGGGCTATGTCTGTCCTGGCCCTTTGGAAAAAATAGAGTTGCTTATCCTCATTTTTTTGTGCAAACTCTGTTTATGTGATTCTGGATATAAGTCCTTTTGGGGCTTGTGTTTCTTAGGTATTGCCTCCAAGTCTGTGTGTTTTCCACTGTTTACTGTTTCATTGGGGGAAGGATGAAACTATTGAACATAGTCAAGTTGAACTTCCTGATATTTTCCTTTTGTATTTTGTATTTTGTACTGTCTGTCCAGTTTAGGAAGCCTTTGTTAAATCCAAGGTTATAGACTATCTTTATTCTTTTGGAAGTCTTATGGCTTTCGGTTCTTGATTGAGGTCTCTCACTAGTTAGAAGGGTTTGTTGTTGCTGTTGTTGTTGTTTGGTTTTCTTTTGTCTGTGGTATGAGGTTTGCATGTAGATGCTACTTCCCAACACCAACACTTGAGAGGATGGCTCTCCCCCACGGAACTACCCCAGTATCTTGCCAAACACTGACCCTCTTCCTGCAAGAGTCTACTTTTGGACTCCTATGTGACTCAGTACATCCATCTGTGTAGATCCACTAGATGTTTGTGGCTTCTTGCAAAACCACAAGACAAGTGGTTCTGGCTGTTCTAGCTCCTCCATGTCTCTTTAGATTCACTCTAGAATCAGACTGACCACTTTTACAAAAGAAAGTCCAATGAGACCTTGACTAGAACGGTCTTGGATCTATAGGCCAATTATATTGATTTTTTTTTAGACAAATGGCACCTCTGAGAAAAAATGACATATTTTAGTTTTTATTTTAATAATTTTTGAAATTAAAACATAATTGTATGATTTTTCCTTTCTCTTTCTTCAACCCCTCCCATGTACCCCTTCTTTCAAATTCATAATGGCTTCTTTTTCTTTAGTTGTTGATGTGTGTGTGTGTGTGTGTGTGTGTGTGTGTGTGTTCCTAAATACATGAACACAACCTATTGATTCTTTGAGGTTTTCTTTTCCACCTGGCCCACTGTTCTTCAGTCTCAAATAAACACACAGAGGCTTATAGTAATTATAAACTGCTTGGCTGATAGCTCAGGCTTCTTATTGGATAGCTCTCTCTTAATTATTAACCCATTTATATCAATCTAAGTATTTCCATGTGGTCTTGGCTTACTGGAGAATGCCCAAACCTGCTACTCCTTCTACTACATGGTGTCTCCCTGGTGGCTCTCTCTCTCTGCCTTTCTCTTCCCAGAATTCTCCTTGTCTGGTAGCCCCACCTATACTCTCTGGCTACTGGACAATCAGCATTTTAGTAACTCAATAAGAGAAACATTTATTATCAGCATATAGGCAAGACATCCTCCATCATATCCTGTTTTCTGTCTAAATAAAAAAGCAAGGTTTAACTTTAATACTTAAGTATAATTTTACTTGTATCTATATGATTTCAGGGCTGGCCACTTGGCTTTTTAATTGAACACTGTATGTTTATATTTATTGAGGTATGTAAATGTTGCTTGTTCATTTGTTTACTTTTGAAAGTGTCTTTCTATGTAGCTCCAGCTGTTCTGGAACTCACTATATAGACCAGCTGACCTCTAACCTACAGAGCTCCACCTGCCTCTGCATCCCAAGTGCTGGAATTAAAGGCATGCACCATCATGTTTTGGTCATAAATGTTATTAACAATACTTTATATTTCTTATACGTGCAAATATCTCTATGTAGTCTTATATACAGTTACTATATACATGTATGTTGACCTCTATGTTAGTTAATTTACATGTCGTATGTCAGCCTCTCTGGACTAGGCACCTTGTCATTTAGCCATTCATTGTTCTGGCTATGCTAGTGAGGTTTTTTTATGAGGTTAATATTTAGACTGGTAGATTTGAGTCAGCTGAAGGCCTGAAGAGATCCCCTGAGAATTCTGATTTCAGACCCGGACCTTAAATATCAGTTCTGTCTGGTCTATGACACTAACCTTCTGTAGGGATTTGTCGACATCATCAGCTCTTCTGTTTTTCCATTTGCTGACTGCAGCTCTCAAGATCTGTGGGATTTTGTAACCATGTGAATTCTTATAATGAATCCCTCTGTATACTCTCTCTCTCTCTCTCTCTCTCTCTCTCTCCCTCTGCCCCAATGGTTCTGCTTCTCCGGAGAACACTGATGAATACAATTTCTGTCCTAAAACTTTACCTAATTAGTAACTGTTTTGATAGATTCCTTCTGTTAGAGTATATGAATTTTGTTCCAATAAAGGACTTTTAATCTGCTGGGGAATCAGGTGACCCCAGCCCCTGCTGTACCAGATCTGAGGTTCCCTCAAAGGGTTCTCATGTGGATGAGTCAACCATTCCAAGGCTGAGGAGTGAAAACACGGTGTTCTGCTGGCCTGGATGCTTGCTGGTCTGCCATGCTTGGAAGGACATTCCCTGTCATGAGTGTCACTCTCTTTGAGGAAGCTCTCTTCTTCCAACTAGACTGAGCTAAGGTCACAGAGAAGAGCAAAGCTCACTCTCTTTACTGACCTGTGCCCTCTGGTTGTTTTCATAACCAAAACAGGCTGGGGAGAGTATAATTCCGCAGGTAACCATGAACCCAAAGCTGTTGACTCCTACTGCCCGGGAGTCTATGCAGGAGGGCAGGATGCAGGTCCTTGGCCTCTCTGCACTGGCTGGCAGTGACAATGCTTTACAGACCACACTTGGGAAATGTATAGACTATTTGACCTTGGGAGAGGCTGGGAGGTACTAGCTGATCTTACTTCTAAGTACCCTGCCTTCATCTGCCATGTTCCCTATTCTGTGAGCCCAGGTTGGGGTTCCCATTTTTTCCAAGCTTCTCCCTGGTTGTTTCACTTACCAGAGTAACTGGTATTCACAGGTGTACATGCTTTTCGGCACAATGTCGTCCTGGTCAGTGTGTATAACAGACTCTGGCTTAGGGCCTGATACCTGATGGACAACTGCTTGACCAAAGGTATAGGCAGAGCTAGCTTTAGGGCCTGCCCTTTCATTCCATCATGGCTGTAAGGAGGACAGCAAGTCATCCTGGGTCTCAGGCTGATGTGGACACACCAACAATGTTCTAGGTCACAAGGTACCAGCAGCAGGGGCCAGGGCCCACTTCTCTGTGTGGTTATTAGTGTCTCGAGTATGGATGTTGAGTTACTGCTGTGAGCACAGGATCTGGGCTTCCTCAGCTGTGTATTCATGGACCGTTGCAGCTTCTGGGTCAGACCCACAAGACCTTACCAAACTGGCATCCTGTCAGGGTTTGCGTCACAGGCCTCGTGTGGAAAGTGCCTAGGTGTGAGCGTGCTGTCAGTGTCTCTTGTCAGGATGGACATGCGAAGGTCAGGAGTTGATGCTTCTAAACGAGGGCAGCACATGGGATGTGGGGTGGGAACTCCCAAGCTGAAGTTACCCGTGTTGCCATCCTATGCTCTGCAATGTAGGAACTGGACTGAGAGGGACCATGGAGCTGTCCCCCTCAGAGTGACAGGTCAACATGCTCCCCATAGATACCCGAGAGCTTCCCGAATGAACAACAGGTCTTTTCTCTTATATTTTTGGTTGTGGTCCTAGCCTTTAACGGCTGAGCCATCTCTCCAGCCCAACAGGTCTTGTCTCAAATTCAGAAGAGGTTCATTTTTTCAAAGAGCATATGGTTTTGAAAGGATGTTGATATATACTGTGTTGTTTAATAATGATTTCTAAGATACCAGATGCTGCTATAGGCAGAATGGTTTTTTGGAGGCTGTTTGGTTTTTTTTTTGGGGGGAGACAGGGGATGCCAGTGTGAAGAAGGATCCAAGTGTTCTGAGAAGAGAATCTTCTGTTAGCCTATTATCCTTTCCACAGACAAGGGCAAGATCAGGTTGATACTAAACTTTAGACACCAGCCAGTCTGTGAAGGCGATGCTGTGGACCGGAAGAAGCTGGCCCTTTCCAGAGCCAGGCTGTGATGCTCCCCCTGTCCTCAGAGAAGGCTGAGTTGGTGGGGTGGCAGAACAGCATCTGGGGACAACAGGGAGAGCACCACTCTACCTGGATAGACCCGGGTGCTATCCTCCCCAGGGACCCCACTGTCTTCTTCGGGTTCACACTCCTGGCAGCATCTCAGGCAGAGCATGGGATCATTCATCTGCCCAGGTCCCAGCGAAACATGCTGAGATTAAGCAGGGAGAGACAGTCCCCTCTCTGGCTCCAAACATCTCAGCTTTCTAAAGATATTTATTTACTCTGGCAGTGGGGGGGGGCAAAGGTACCTTGAAATGGTCAGGATGGTACCTATCTCATCCAGAAATCCAGAGTTTTGCGGGGGCGGAGAAGGATGGTCGCATTGTCGGGGAGATCGCGTTCCAGCTTGACCGGCGGATCTTGGCCTATGTGTTCCCGGGGGTGACACGCCTCTATGGCTTCACAGTATCCAACATCCCTGAGAAGATCAAGCAGGTACACTGTCTTTGTTGCCCCAGATCAGGAGTGGTACTGGGGCTACATCGTGGTGCTGGCAATCCTGGCAGATCTCTGGTCCAAGTGCAGACCTTCCCACCCCTCCCCCCCCATCCCTCGCCAGGGCTCATCCCTCTGAAGTGCTGACCTCCATTTCCCCTCTAAGCCCCCAAGTCTGCCCTGTCCCACCGACTTCCACTAGGGTCAGAGACTTCTCTGACCTGTCGCCTTGTGTCCCTCAGACATCCATCAAGTCCCTAGACGGCTCCGTGGATGAGAAGAAGCTGCGTGAGCTGACACATCGCTATCTGACTCTGACAGCCCGGCTGGAGAAGCTGGGGTACAGCCGCGAAGTGCACCCGGTGTTCAGTGAGTTTCTCATCAACACCTATGGCATCCTGAAGCAGCGTCCGGACTTGCGGGCTAACCCACTTCATAGCAGCCCCGCAGCGCTGCGCAAGCTAGTCATTGACATTGTGCCCCCCCAAGTTCCTGGGTGACTCCCTGCTGCTGCTGAACTGCCTGTGTGAACTCTCCAAGGAGGACAGCAAGCCACTCTTCGCCTGGTGAGCCGCTCACCTCACCCTTCCTGCAATAAACGTGTTTGTTCCAAACCCGGGGGCCACCCGCGTCCTCCCGCACGGAAAGCTGTCTGCCCAGCTACAGTGGGGAGAGGCCTCCTCCACGTCTGGGCTTGCCCTGCGCACCCAGCAGGTCTGGCCGCTCACGGTTGCCGGGCACCTGTTGCCTTATTAAAAGCTTATTTATTTGTTTGCCTTACCTCTGGCTCTTTGAGGGCGTGGTGAGGCGTCTTAGTCTCTATTGGCCTACAAGAGCAGTGGATCAGTGTTTATGAACAGAACCTGGGGCTGGGTTGATGCCGGGACTCTTAACTCCAAGGAGTGTGGCCACCTGCCTTCCCTCAGCTGTAGCACAGCATCCTTGAAGGCTTCAGTCTCTCCCGTGAAAGGACCCGCAAGCCCTCTTCTATTTTGGGTTTCTCCAAATGCAGAGCTGGAGGCGAAATGGCTGTGGAACCGGCAGAGCCTATCAGGATGGAAGGCTCTGCAATCGAAGTTAGGGACTTTGGTCTATGACAACAGAGTGCGTCAAGTCTGGGTGTGGCCCGTGTGAGTGAGCACTTACTGGGCCCAGGAATTAAGCAAGGAGCAGCAATGTAGGGAAGGGACCACTAAGAGCTGATGGGGCTTAGTTCTTGGGACCCAGGAGGCCTAGAATGTTCTTGGATATTGGCCAGAGCGGCAAGGCTGCTGCAACTTCTATCAACTCCCACCCCACAGGTACCTCCCTGTGTGCATGTTCACTGCTGTAAGGTCAGCCCTACAACAAAGAGATGGAACCCTCCGTGAATCAGTGGGCTTAGGGCTAGGGATCCAGACAAAGACCTAGAGTGGTGTGACTCTTACAGAGTTTAAGAACGGAGGTGGCTCAGGTGGTACAGGTAGTCACCCCAAGCTGGTCCCTTGCTATCCTCTGAGTTTTGAGGGTAGGGCTTCCGTCTTGCTCACTAAACTGTTGGAGCCAGAAGAATACTGACACCCTTGAGGGACCCCACTCTGCTTGGCTTATGTGTTCAGTTCTGAGATGCCTATTGGTTGAAGGGAGTCTTGGTGAAGGAAGAGGCCAGACCTGATACCAGGGGAGGGTCTAGCCAGCCTGGAGTTACCTAAGCCCTTGAGAGGCTCTGGCTCCATGTTGCTGTCATCAGCTAACCCCCTTTGGAGTCACCTTTAAGGTGATAAAAGCAAGGCAGTGACTGAGCAGGACCTCATCCAAAACGACTACATTAGGAGCTGTCAGACCACAGCCCTGTAGCTATGTTGGTCGTCTTAGCCAGATAGGCCATAGCCACTTCCCCTTGAAGTCAGCAACTGGATGCTTCCTGCAAACCCGAGGTAAGGAATAAAGGTAAATATACCTGGACTTTTTAATTAGGTACAGCAGGCTGGCAGACATGGAGAGAGAGGGGAGTGTGCTGTTCTCAAGATTCCAATGGGAGGTATATCCTGCTGCCGGGCAGGGCTATGTAGAGAACTGTAGCGAGCTGCAGGTGTGTTCACAGCTACAGTGCTACCATACTTCACAGCGATCCGAGGCTAAGGGCTAAGGATGAAAATAAAGACAAAGACAGTGGCTCATCCTTACAAGGAGAATGGCGTTTATTATTACAAGAGTGGAGCCTTATATACCAAAGGCAGGTATGGTGGAAAAACACCAAGGTCAGAAGCCTACCTTCCCAGGGTCCTCCAGCAAAGGGTGGGCCAAAAACAGGAATTAGCTTTTAGACAATAAACAGGAGCTTGTATGCAGGCCTTACTGGGAGGAGGGGATGAGAAATGTTTTGCTAAAAGCCACTAGTAACAAACAGTCAACAGACCCCCATGGGGAAAGGGTGCAACAGAGAAAGGTCAGGATGCTTCGAAGGAGTGAGGGCCTCTGGTGGCTTGAGAAGGAATGGGCGAGGCAGGGTAGGTGAGTATGTACAGGTAGAGGAGTAGAGAGTTCAGCTTCCATAGACTGATACAGGAGGGTGTCTACTGACCAAGTAAGTGCCTTGCCCGTGCAGTTTGGAGGTCAGGGACCTTGGGGAGAGTTAAATGAAGAAGTGGGCTTTGGGTTGTTCATTTTGCATAACAAAGGCGTTATGCACCTGGAGTTAACTAGATCACAGTGGAAAGATTGGTTTTTCCAAATAGTTAATGGTTTTGTAAAAGAGTAAACAAGTGCAAAAATGACCCTGGGGAGTGGGAGCAGGGGACCAAGTGACTTGGGCTCTGGGCTTCAGGCTTGGAAGAGCTAGACGCTTGGACTTGACTGTGAGTCTGTGTTAGTCAACTTTCCATCATTGTGATAAGTCACCTGAAAAAAGTCCATTTAGTGAGGGGTTTCTTTAGCTCCCATTTCGGAGATCTCAGGCCACCCGTGGCTGGCCCCATTGTCTCTGGGCCTAGGATAGAGCAAATGTCAGGGCAGGGAGTGCATGATAGAACAGAGCTCTCATTTCAGTGTCCAGGAAGCAAAGGCAGAACATGGTTGTGGGACAGGCTACACCGTCTTCAGGGGCAAACTCCCAGGAATCTACCTCTTCCAGTTAGGCCCCCACCTCCTGCAGTTTCTGCCAGCTCCCAATACTGTATTCAATATGAACTCATCAATGACTTAATCTATCTAAGAGACCAGAGACCTCAGGATCCAATCATGCCCCCAAAGCCCTTTCTCTTAACATTGTCAAGACCAAGCTTACAACAATGAGTCTTTTGGGGGACAGAACCAACCCAAACCCAGAGGGTCATAGTGTCCCCAAGCTTTTGAGCTCAGCTCTGAGTGGTTATAGGCTGCTGTCACGTGTTCACTTGACTATCCTCCATGCATGTGTTAGGCCCAGGCTTGGGAGGCTGCCAAGGAAATAGGGCTCAGAACCTCAACAGAGCTCCTCCCAGATTGCAGTATCTGGTGGTGGTGTGTTGTGTAGAAGGCTTGAGGATGTTCCTGTGTGAAAGGAGGTAGGACAGTGGTGAAGATGTATTTGCATGCGTGAGCGCGCACGTGCGTGCGTGCGTGCGTGCGTGTGTGTGTGTGTGTGTGTGTGTGTGTGTGTGTGTGTGTGTATGTGTGTGCTGGCGCGAGCGTGCACGTGCGTGCATGTGTGCATGCGTGATTCAGGCAAACTTTGACAGTGGTGTAATTTGACCGAGTCCCCTGGAGATGGGTACAGGTTGTGCCTGGTTTCCAGTGGCCAGAGCCCACACTGAAGGGGTGGAGTGATGCCCCACCCGTCCAGGTCCAATGCCCGCATGAATGATTTGGGATATTTCTATATGGGCAACCTGTCATTTATTTTTGGACTCCTGTGTTTCTGCTCTGCGTTTGTGTCTGTACCCAGCATTTCACTTCTGTCTTTTCCAGCTTTGTGGTACCTTCACCGGGGAGACCAAGTCTCCACACCCACAGGCATCTCTCCACCCAGGCCCAGCAATGCTGGGCAGTGTTGTATCTTGACACTCCGATGCCACCAAAGGCTTTGTGAAGTATGTGGGTAGGAAGGCACCTGAGGAGGGTTCTGTCTCCAGGACGGGATGTTCATGCACGTCCAACACTGTAGTAAGATCTGTGAACCCCACATAGAAGGGACACACCAGCCTCTACCTAGAATTAAGAACTGCAAAGAAGGAATCTGGGAGCCGCAAGTGAATCTTGCCATTCTTGTGCAGCTGGGGCCGTAAACTTGAAGAAGTTTTGGATCCAGAATTAGTGGTGAGGAAACCTGGGCTTTCTTCACCTGCCTATCCCTGGGAGCACAATACCACAGAGCAAATCGTAGGCAACAGCATCACTCACCACTCTCACACCAACTGCCCCGTGTACACTCACACCCACACCTGCCCCAATGGCCCCGTGTGCACTCACACCCACACCTGCCCCAACGGCCCCATGTACACTCACACCCACACCTGCCCCAACGGCCACGTGTACATGCAACATCAACATGCACACATGTGTGCCTACTCAAGTATCTATATATACACACACACACACACACCATCCATACGTGCTCATACCAACAATCACTCATATACAAATACCTGAATATAGAGTTACATAACACCCACATAGATGCAAATCTTAACATCTGTACGTGAACACTCGTCCCAGTGCCCACACGCATGCTTACACACTAACACTGCACACATAACACAACAACATATACATTGTGCTGATTAGTTTCAATTATTGATTTGATGCAACCTAGAGTCTCCTGGGAACAGAGAACCTCAGTTGAGCGACTGATTGCCAGATCAGACTGGTCTATGGTCACCCCGACCCCTACATGCTCACATTTATCCTTACATACACTCACACCCATATCCCCTCAGTTCACCCATGTGGACACTTACCCCATGGATTGCACACTTAAACACACGTATAAGTTCCCATGGTTACACAGATTCTTGCTCCTACTGACACACTCTCTGACCTCTCTGAGCTCAGTTGACTTCTGTGGAGGACCAGGCTTTATTCTAGGCCTCACCCCACCTCCCTTTCTACATCCCTGAGAGCCAGAACTGCTATGAAAAGATACCAACCCAGAAGTCCCATGGGCCCTCCTCCCAAAAGGCCACATTCTGAGGTCAAAGCTGCGTCATCTGGATGGTCAGCAGGCAGCCCTGGATCAAGCTGGGCCTTGAACCCAAGTTGGCCTAATGCCTTAGCTTGAACTTAGCCCCTCTAGGCCTCCAAGAATCCTCACCATGTGCCCCTCTGGCCCACGGTCATGTGATTTTTGGAGAGCTCCTCCTGGAGAGCATGTACTTAACTAGGGAGTACCCT